GAAACAGGAAGTGGCTTGGTCAGCACTAGTTAGGTATGTGGTCTGATAGCTCTGATAGGCCCCTACCATCCCCTGTAAGGAAAGTAACCTTGCAGTATCCAACCTGCTTTTTTTCCCCCCTAGAATAGCAGTCCCCTCCCCTTACCTGCATTTTCTCTTTGTGCAGTTTCAGTTATTCATAGTCAACTGTGCGTCAGAAGCAGATGATCCTCTTTCAGAACCACTATCTGAAAGTCAGTAGTAGCCTAATACCACATCACAATGCCTACCTCATTCACCTCACTTTCTGTCATCAGGTAGCCATTTTATCATCTCACACCATCATAAGCAGGGTGAGTAAAGTACAATAAGATATTTTGAAAGACAGACCACATTTATATAACTTTTATTACAGTATGTTATACATGTTCTATATTTTTAAAGTTTTTTTTATTTTGTGAGAAACAGAGAGAGAGAGTGAGAGACATAGAAAGAGAAAGAGAGAGAATCAAGTGGGGGAGGGGCAGAGAGAGGAAGAGAGAATCCCCAGCAGACTCTGCACTGTCAGTGAGGAGCCTGATGTGGGGCTCCAACCCATGAACGGTGCAATCATGACCTGAGCCGAAATCGGATGCTTAACCAACTGAGCTACCCAGGTGCCCTTGTTCTATTTTATTATTAGTTGCTGTTAATCTTTTACTGTGTCTAATTTATACATTAACCTTTACCACAGGTATGTATAGGAAAAATATAGTACACATAGTGTTTCCTACTACCCATGGTTTTAAGCATCTGCTGGGGGAACTACTGTGTAATTTTCTTGTTCCTTTTCCCTTCTGCTCATAAAAATCTGTCATTTTGTATAGCTCCTTGGTGTTCCTTTCTATCTGCTCGATTAGATGCTGCCTGATTCGAACTGAGTGTTGCTTAAATAAACTCTTATTTTTTTTTTTAATTTTTTTTTTCAACGTTTTTATTTATTTTTGGGACAGAGAGAGACAGAGCATGAACGGGGGAGGGGCAGAGAGAGAGGGAAACACAGAATCGGAAACAGGCTCCAGGCTCTGAGCCATCAGCCCAGAGCCTGACGCGGGGCTCAAACTCACGGACCGCGAGATCGTGACCTGGCTGAAGTCGGACGCTTAACCGACTGCGCCACCCCGGCGCCCCAACTCTTATTTTTTTTTTTTTAAATAATGACTCAGTTTATCTTTTCACCTATGTAAATAGAAATTTATATCATTTCATGTGTGTTTGTGAAAACTAAATGACACCACTAGTTAAAAGTTAATTCTTTTAAATAAAAAAGGTAACATCATTCTATGATATTACATGAGAACCTAGATTTGCCTTTTTTTTTTTTTTGGCAGACTATAATCTTTCATGTTTTATCTCCAGAACCTATAACTGAATCAAAAGAAACCAACTAACTAAAACAACCAGATACACTATGGCAATGAAAAAGTTACCATGAGAATAATTTTTCTCATTAGTTAATTCAAGTACCACAGTATAACTACGAACTTTAGTCATATAAAAACCAAGAATACCGTGGGTAGCAGCACACATTTTAAAACTACCACAAAAGTATGAGAGTTTTCAATGCTGTAGCACACACCCTCTTCCTGCTCCACTCCCCCACCACACCCTACTTACCAAGCTTTTTTAAAGAAAATCACTCTCTCAACACAACTCTTCATATTAAGTGATGGTGAAGATCACTTTTGTGTTAGTCTCACTAGGATTCAACTCAGATTTTTAAAAAGTTTGTTTCCATCTGCTTTAGGCACTTAGACATAGAAATGAATGAGAGTTTATAGACAGAGCCATTTAGTTCTCATTAGATTGAACCAATCCTTTTATCTCTTCTACAATAAAATATAACAAAAGGAAGTAATCAAATGAATCAGCATCTTCAGTCTTACTCTTAAAGATAAAGGACACAGACCTTTTTCACTTTCAACCAGAGAAGTCATAGTTTTTCTTGTGATAAGATTTCAGTCATTAACGTAATACAGCTGATGATTTTTCAATTTTTCTACTTAAGATGTGATTGATATGCATATTTATATATTAGATATCTTTATCTATAGTTAACCAAATTAACTCAATTTTACATGTTCCTATGCAGTTTTAGTTTACTCCATGTAAATAAAATTTGAAGTTTCAACATAGGAGAATGGTCTTGAGTTTTACCTGCTTGACAATCTTATATTAAACAGAATCCTCAATAACACAAATGCTTCACCACCATGAAAAATTCTATAAAAATTTCCTGTTTATTTCTAAGTTTCCTTTTTTATAGAGCTAGATTTACATTGCTTCTGGTAAGTCAGTTCAAACCACTGTAAACACACTCTTAAAATAGCTCTGCATTTTCAGAACTACTCACGAGGTTTCTTCATTTTAAATTTGATATTTATCTTTATATATAATGAGATGGTCAAAGTGGTTCATGAACACTTCTTTCCCCCTGTGATGAAATCCAGAAAGTGTAATTATTACTAAAAATCATCACAATGTGGTTTATATTTAGTTTCAGCTTGGGGTCTGGGAAATGTGACCCATTGTAATGAGAATCTGATGAGAAACAAACTTTATCAACAACCACAACAAACAACACAGTTCTAAACCTTACTCCTGACTGCATATAAGTATCTGACAAATGGAATTCAACTCACTTCTTTTAACTCTGAAATAACAATGCAAAGCCATCCCCCTGAAATCCTGTCTCTGGGAAATAAGGCATAATTACTGATAACAGTGTGTGTGATCTTGGCTGTTTAGAAGGCTATCTTAATTTTAATTTTTAGGTTGTTTCCTAAGACATACTAGTATTTTGCTACTTTTGTCATATCTTTTACTCACTACAAAAACAGTATTACTGTTTACAATCTTTTCCAGAGTCGTGGCTCTAACACTTAATAGTTCTGGATAAGCGACCTCATCTTCTCTAAGCCTCAGTTTCTTATTTGTATAATGAAGATGATGATACCTACTTTCCCAAGTTTCCATGAGAACTAGATATAACCAAATGAAGCACCAAACACTGTACCAGGCTTAAAATTGCCATTCAGCCAGTGGTGACCTTTCTGGTTCTTATTTTATTTGCTAATGACATTTCTAATGATGTTTCCTAAGTCTTGGATTTCAATTTTTCTTCTATTATTCAGTGTTACTCCTATAGTTACAGTTGGACAGAAGCTGAGTGAAAGTCATATTTTAAATTACATGTTTATAAAGGCAAAGATTTCACATGACCGAATAAATGGAAATCATTACCTTTTTTTTCTAATTGAGAATGTATTAGAAAAGTTCCACAGAAGTGAATTTGTTTCATAATAAATACTGTTGTTTCAAAGCAAAATGTTAATAAGTGCTATAATAAGCATTCATGAATAACATTGTTATTCAAGGAAAAATATTAGCATACGGAAGACATTTGGGTTTTACATTTCTCTTGACTTTAAATTATGGTACTTCAGATTCATATAGTTTTAGAAATGAACAATGTCCTGAATATCACACATTCAGGATCTGATTGGTAAAAGGAACAAAAGACTATAAAGTTTCATTTAATCATGTAACACTACTGATTTAAACATGTAGCACTACTCCAAATCATACAAGAAAAAAGAAAAACTCCAGTGGATTTTATAAAGGAAACAATGCACTTACATGGTTACACAACTGAGCACATACAACAATGAGTTTATATAGTTTGATACAACCTTGTTATAAAACATTTTTCTCAGGGATCACAGGATTTTGAAACTTTAATGTATGAACAGTTTTTCTACTCTAGAAAATAAACAGATCAAGTCACTTAACCTATATGAAACATAAAAAAGAATAAATCAATAGTAAAAGTATAAATTCTCAATTATGGCATTTTCTTTAGATATTATTTAATCAATTTCTGCAAAGAAATCCATTATTCCCAAATCCCAGCAGTTTAATGGATATGATTACAATAATACAAGAGGGAAAAGAAAGCTGCTTACATTTTGGAATTACTCCATTTCTTACTGAACTGAAGGTAATTTACATTTAGTTGCCCTATAGCTTAAAAGAGATGCTATATCTCAAAGTTTGCCATTAAATTCATCAAAAATTTATTGGATGACTAGTGTTCAAGGTAAGATATGTAAATATCATTATTTATAGTCTTTTCATTGTGACCATACACACCCTAAATAAATTATAGTTGACCCTTGAACAATGGTTTTGAACTACATAGCTCTAGTGATATACAGATTTTTTTTTGATACAGTACTGTAAATGTATTTTCCTTATGACTTTCTTAGTCACATTTTCTTTTCTCTAACTTACTTTAAGAATATACTATATAATACATATACAAAATATGAGTTAATTTTTTATATTATTGGTAAGGTTTCTAGTCAATAGTAGATGATTAGTAGTTCAATTTTGGGGAAGTCAAAAGTTACATGTGGATACTTGACTGGGGGGGGTGGGGGGGGTTGGTGGCCCTAACCCCTGTGTTGTTCGAGGGTCAACTGTATAATTGGACCACAGGTTTCTTCCATGTTGCTGATTGCAAATGACTGCTATGGTATTTTCCACTCTGTGCTGTTTCATTAAAGAAAAAAAAAATTAAAAAGATTTTCACCTTTAATAATAACATCTTCTCTTATTAAACACTTAAAATATTTTAAAGTACATTTTCTTGCATTTGCTTTATCACTTAGCAGGGGTTAAGCCCAATATCAGGGTCTATGACAACTGAAACTACTCACATGGTTTTCAAATACCATAAACATAGGTAGAACAAAAAGGCAGTATTTACCACTGCACAATTTTAGTATGAACCAAGTGCCCTTGCAAGAATTATGCTAGTTTCCAAACAAAATCTCAGTGGAACCCATATTTTTCCTACCACTTATATAACATGATATATGCTTCTATTCCCAATTTAGTCTTGGCAAAACCAGTAACAAATAAAATGAATTTGAGGGTAAGTTTACAAATAAATGTGTATTTTTTCTTTTATTTTCTAGATGGTAATATCCCTTAATGGTTTTTACTTTACACAGAAGAACAATCAAGGTCTTGCCTGCAGACACCGCAGAAACTATATGTGCCTCTACATAAAGCTGATGCTCAGAAAGGTAAGAAAAACAATGATTCTAAACCAGTCAAGTGATTATAAAAAAACAAGTTTTCCAATAAGGTTCCAGATGAACAAGCTAGATATCTGATGTGGCAGATCCAATGAAGCTGTGAGAAAAAATAGATGTAAGGTAATGGGAGAAAGGACAGTAATTTACCAGAGGTCCCTGCCAAGTACCAGACTGGTGGTTTAGAACAGGCATTGAGGTCTAGTCAGTGTCTAGTGCTTGAACTGGCTCAGAGCTCTTCTATGTGAAGCTTACTCTGCAGGGTTTGGAATATTTTGCTAGCCAAATGCGACTGGCTGCCAGCTCCCCCCTGATTCTGCTTACACTTGCCCAAGAGTTCAGATCTGTAAATGAGTGCCGTCTTGATCCATTCATCTGGGGAGTTTGCATCCCTAAAGAGTCTCAGCTAGAGTAACTTTAAGTCACCTTAGTGTGATTTTTCACCAAATAAATCTGAACAATATTTTCTGGGTTGGTCATTAAAAGATCATCTCCTGTAACCTGAGTATCTTACTGAGCTTTACACTTTACAGTCATTCAAGTCAATGGGATAGTCTATAGACTCATGGGTCTCTTGACCACTGGCATCTACAGAGTAGAAATCAGAGGCAGTTAGGTCAATGCCAAATACAAATTTATTAGTGCAATTTCATTCTTTCACAGTACCAGAGCTTTGAAATTCTTTAGGATATTAGAAATGAATTCAGTGTTATGTACCACCTATAGCATTTTCCCCTTATTTCTTCTTGATGACATCTTTCAGTTGTGTAAGACAAACATTCTAAATACATGATTCCTTTAAGCTTCTGACTCCATGGAAGAAGTCAGTCTTCGGCCACAGTGCTTCCAGTGCAAGTGGTACCATTCATCACCCTGAAAGCCAGAACTGAGTGGAAGACAGCCAGGTCCATAATATTATGACATAGGCAGAAGCTTCTTTTTGGCAGCTCTGGCTGAAGTTCATATAGTAAAAAAATAATCCTGCTATGGTGTTGGTAGTAAATGTAGATTCATTCTCACACCATCCAACTCTATTATCAGTCTGTTAATATTTTCCTATCTGTAACACTGTTTCCTTCTAATCTGGTAGGTCCAACAGTATTATTGATTGTTAAATAGTTTTTGAGATTTTCCCCCCAAATAGTGGGTCTTAACACCACCCCAGTGCTAATATCATTATACAGGAGTTGAGACATCTCTAAAGGGAACTTTTTCATAGATAATAATTCATCAGGAATCTTAACAAGAACTGAAGTTCTAAGAGTGATCTTGAAAATAGACACATACACATAGACTGTATGTTCTCATATTCAAAGAAAAGGACCAGAAGATTCTGAAGATGATAGTACAGAACACTGATTTTGCTTTTATTTTTATTTTATAGAGAGCGAGTGTGAGCAGGGGAAAGGAGCAGAGAGAGAGAGAAAGAGAGAGAGAGAGAGAGAGAGAGAGAGAGAGAGAGAGAGAGAGAGAATCACAACCAGGCTCCATGCTCAGCACAGAGTCTGACACGGGGCTCAATCCCACAGCTCTAGGATCATGACCTGAGCCAAAATCAAGAGTCAACTGCTCAACCAACTGAGCCAGCCAGGTGCCCCGGGAGCACTGATGTTAAAATCCTACAAAGTAGTTCCTTTGCTCTTTCTCCCACCTTCCCTCTCATAAACCTATGCTTCTCTTTTCTTTTCACTATCTGTCCTGTATATATCAGCCTGTTTGATGACAGTGCCACCTGTGAACATATACTTGTTTACGCTGTCCAGCGGAAAAGTTTTTTAATTGTGTTAAAGAGCACATATAAAAATTGACTCTCAACCAAATTTTAAACGTATACTACAAAATTGTTAACTATATGCACATCGTTGTACAACAGATCTCTAGGGAGAAGTTTGTTTGTTTGTTTGTTTCTTCCCTAAAGCACTGTCACTTTACCAAAATCAAACTAAAGTTCCTTAGTAAAGAAAACTGAAAAACTGCACTATTATTTTGGACAGATTGGTACATTTACATATGGAATTTTATATCATATGTGATTCACATTTGCCCTTTTCTCAAATTTGCTAAATATAAACAAATAGTTTTGTATTCTAAAACCCCAAAAGGGTATCGAATTATTTAAATGTGTTTGCAAAAGGGGCCAGCATTAGGAGAAGGAAATTTACAGTGAAAGTGACATGAATGGACCATTCATTTGTATGGCCACTAATTCCATAGGGCAACTGATCATAAATTAAGTGCCTGACATTCAGTAATAGATGATTATATCTGACATAATGAAGTTATAATGGAAGGTGTTCGCACACTGCTTGACTATTAAGTGCCCATTTATTGTCCCTGCACCAGGTGTGATAGTGATAGGCTATACAAATCATCCAGAAGAAATGTCAAAATAGGCTCCTTTGCTGATAAAGCACCACACATGTTTATTAATACAGCAGCTTGTCTTAGAACTGGCCCATCTGCTCATTTAAAACGAATCTTTTTCCTATAAATATTTCAAAGTTAAGAGCATGACCACTCATAATAGTTTTAGAGAAGTAGGAATGGAAAGAGGAGAAAGGCAAACTCAAATAAAATATTCTGCTCTTCCTTTTACCTGAGGTACGTTTAACAGAAGGGGCAGGGAGGTAGTTTTTAATGTGGCATTTGCTTTAGATTAGTGCTGCATGAGTGTAGGCCATTGAACACGGTCCAGGCTCCAGCTGTTGCTGGTGCCAGGTGGGAAATGGCAAATTTCACCAATGTTTTCAAAGTACACATTTCAATAAAGTCCAAAATGAAGTACTCAATTAAGAAATTCTCCAGAGCAGTAGTTCATATGCATTTAAGCTCATCAGAAAATATTTTAGCTGGGTAGATTTTACAAAGAAAAATAATACTACAAATCTTTCTTAGGGGAGGTGATTTTAAAACTCTGAGGGTTTGCTTCTAAGTCCATTTTTTTCTAACATTTCAACGTCACATTTTTATGTAACAGAAAAAAAAAAAAACAACAGAAGCAAAATGTGAATGTTTACCTCTCTTCTTTTTAAGAAATCACAAGTACAAAGCTAAGACATTTTCCATCTGGTGTTCTGAGTTTTATACTCTTGCTGCGCAGCCTGTATGTTCTTTGTTCTATCTTCAAGAATGGTTTTATCTAACCAACAAACAAGTGTGCCCTGAGGCACCCCTCTCAAATGAACACACACATTTGAAATGAAGAAGTAAAATCCTTCAAAATAGTGAAACAAAGGAAAGGCATGGACCATTTGGTAACCAGAGGTGGTTTTTGCTCTATAGCCTTGGCTTCATTTATTCATTCATTAAAACCTAAATAAAGTCTGGCAGGCATGCCTTTCAGGTTCCAGGAAAGAACTTTATCAGACTCAGTATCACATAAATCCACTAGTCATACTTTTCTAAATAAATTACATCTTGTGATAACTAACCACCTGGTGACCAAAGGGCCAATTCAATTACTTGTAAAAGGCTAAAGGTCTCAGATACCCTTGAAATTATGTTTTTTACATCTCTCATACACTGAAAGAAAACAATTTCCAATCATGTTTTATGTTACATGTATTTCCAAAAATTGATAATGGGTGATCTTTAGTTTGGATATGAATTACCTCTGTCTTCCAGAACACCATCAATATCCACCCAAATTATCCAAACTGGAAATCAAATAATTATCTCTTATTTCTCTCTCGTATCCAATCACCAAGTCTTATTATGCTTTAACTACAATGTCTAGGAATCTATCGTGTATTCTTCCTATTGCTACTGTTTTTTATTTCGCACTTTCAAGAAACCTTTCTTGAAATAACTTACTAATCTCTCTGCTCCCAATCCATCCTACGCATTTTAATCAACATTTCTATGCAAATTATGCCTTCTATGCTTATGTCCTTTGTAGTTTCCCAATGTCTATAGGACACTTAGAAATGCTAGGCTTAGTACACATAAAAATCTACTACAATCTGAGCTATAAGCCCTTTTGCCAGTTTCGTTCTTCGCAGTTCATACCACATCATTTGTGGACACAATTGTGTCTAGTTCCAGAGGCAATTCAGACTAACCTGACCAACAGATTAACAGCCTCCCAATCACCAGCCAAGAGTCTCAAATGATGCTTGTTTTAACAGAATCAGTATTCTGTGTGTAGCATGAGAATATGATCCTTATGGGTCTAGCAAATGTAGTCTTTTCATTGCTTATGTATTAGTAAGTGCTCTTCTTCCCTGCAGGGACTATAACCCCTCGCTTGGGCATTTATTGGAATCCAGGCAAGTGTTCTATCAGGTCCTGCTTCCAAAGGGCTCAGCACATGGTCCCACAGCAATGTGAATTTGCCTGTTTCCAAATCCTTCTGCTATTTCTTAATCACAGAAGAGAAGTCACACATTATCTTAGGCTAGTAATGTGGAAAATGGAAGGGACCGAAGGGAAGAGAATCTTCAGAGAATTTAAGTGGCAAGAGGGAATTCTGTAAATGAAATTTTAAGGAAAAGCCATACCAATATTATTGGATTTATCTCTCTTTAAGCTACTTTCCACCTAGAATCATCTTTTAAAAATTGAAATCAGATTATGTAGTACTCTGTGTAAAAACCCTTAAGAGGTTTTTAAACCCCTCAGCAATCTTAAAACCCTAGCTCTTGGGGCAACTGGGTGACTCAGTCAGTCAAGCATCCAATTCTTGATTTTGGCTCAGGTCATGATCTCATGGTTCCTGATGAAGGTGTAGGTGTAGCCTGCTTGGGGTTCTCTCTCTCCTTCTCTCTCTGCCCCTCCACCCCCCATGAAAAAAAAAAAACAAAACAGAAAAACAACAACAACAACTCAGCTCCTTTCAAGACCTACTAGGCTGACAAAAATTCTCTGCTTGACCAAACTTTAATTAGACACCTGAACCTTCTCTTATGACCCTCTGTGCACTTCCTTGTAAAATTCAGTTACAGCAAGAACCCTACTAAGTCATGTCAGCCACAACCCCCCATTCTCTCCAT